TAATACGCCATACATCACAACTCTCACTCTCTCTCCCTCTCTCTCAGTTCTTGTCGATTGTTCTCAACATTGATCGTGTCATCAGTCCTGGATCCTGCATACTTGGCTGGGTACAGCTCGAGGTGGTGGGGGCATTCTGGTTGCTCACATCGGTCCAGGGCACATCAGTAGTAGGAGTTGGTCGAGTCCTCACGAGCCGCTCCGAAAGCTTACGACCCCTCCCCCTTGTTCCATACTCGTCGAACTGTCGAGGGGTAAATAGCACATGTGAAACGGGAAGCACTGTGAAGAAGACAGGACCCCCTCCCTTACCACTTCCCTGCATATTCCCAACTTCCTACCAGTTTTTCCGGAATCTCCTAAAAAGTTTCCTAGTTTTTCCCGAAAAATTTGCTGTCGGGTGGGGGGTGTATAGGAGTATATAGTACATAACACGAAAAAGCACGAGAAAACAACCTCCTCCAGAGAGCCGGAGGCAAATGCAAATGCGACCCACTCTTCTCTCCCACCAACGAGCAGAATAAGACCCACCCCTCTCTACAGCGTCCATAAAACGAAAAAAATCAAATATCAAAAAACTTTTTCAACTATCAATCGAAACTTTTCATCCGGCAAAATGACCCCCTCCTCCTTCCCCTTCCCCCCTCCTAACGACTGAATTGACCCTATCGGGGAATCCCCAACATGATGTGCCCTGCGTCGCTTACTCCGGTGCTTCTAGTGGAGGCCTGTGAATTCCTGTAAAGGTATGCAGTAGCAAGAGCTTCGTTTACAGCTGACAAAAGCTTCAGGTCTCACCAAGGTGAAACGTGTACTCCAAGAGGAACCAACTGGCAAAAAAAATTCACCTCCCTCCTCCCCACCAAGGCCGGACAGTGTTCTTAACTGTTCGCTTTTTACGATAGATGGGAAATGTCCACTTGGGATTTGTCTATTTCATTAAAAATAATCATGAACGGACTTATGGCGGGCTTGCCGAGGCTTCAAGGCAATACAAGCACCTTTCTTTTGTGGTATGCAACGGTTTGTATCCCTCAAACAGATTACAGACAAGACCCGCGATGGTATATTGTGGATAGTGTTATAGTTACAGACTTTTAGTCGCTAAGCGACTCTCCAGGATAGAAAAAACAAGGAAATCATGGAGAATTTTGTAACTAAGGGTTTGGCCGCCTTTCTGGACGAGTTTCCTGGACCCGGTCTCGTTTTATGTCAGCAAAACGATATCCTGCCGCCTCCGCCTCACCAATCGTTTCTTGTTGACATCCAATGCTAATGCCATCTAACAGTGAAAAAAAAGCGAAAAACACTGCGCTAATACAGAAATCGTGGCAAAAAAACAGCCTTCATTCAAGTTCTGTGGAGCGGGGCCACTCAGGAGGCGTAAGAAGTGCCACTTATGAGGACCACAGCGTCTTCGTTACTCGTTGTAAAGCCGCGAAAAAGGGATAATCTTGGAGAATGAGGACCCAATTACTTTTACAAAGAAGGACGCCTACGACTGCTTGAGCACGATGACTCTCTTTAATGTGCATGACCGTCCGTAAAAAAGTTATATCTACAATGAATTCATGCAGGCTTCGAGAGCGTAGGTTGACTCCGATCAGCCAGACTCAGGGATTGGTTATGGCAAAAGAGATCAAAGCTGTCAAATATCTCGAATGTTCTGCTCTCACTCAACGGGGTTTGAAGCAGGTATGATCCCAGCTTCACAGTCTCCTGAAGAACTTTTTAAACTGTATTCTTTTGTGCAGGTTTTCGATGAGGCGATACGCGCTGTGCTATGTCCGCCTCAGAAGCCTAAGAAGAAGAAGTGCTCCATCTTATAAGTGAGCTCTGTCAACGGCAGCGCAGAAGTATTGCAGTGTTCTATTATATTGTAGCATGATCACTGGTATTTCACCTCTGCTGGTTTGTTAAATAGCAATCTAGAGGTTATCTGCCAATCATTGCATCGCATCGTGTGTCAACAATTTCTCCTTTGATAGCGAAATTTATTTTTTTTCTGGTATTTCCTGTTTTTTCCTAAGTTGGTCTGACTAGTGCAGCTGAGTCATTACAGTTGAAGGCTGGGTGCCAACGGGAGACGGTCAAGACAATCGTAATCTGCTGCTCAGTCGCGCGCTACGGTGAGCGTGGCGTTTAATTAATTTCCAATAGCTTGTTGATTAAAACACCAGATTTCATGTAAACCATGTCTTCGTGGGCAGGCTATTTTTGGCTATAGATTGCTACTGTCCCTACCTACGAACTAGAAGCCGTCATTGGCGGGCATGGCAACGCACGCGACGCCTACTAGCGCTGCGAATTACGATTGTCCTGTCACATACCCGGGTGTCAACACCTGGCATTGTTTCACTGCCGAGGTATATGTTCATGTTCAGATTTCTTTAGTAGATTTATATTATTAATACAACTATCACATCGACATTCTCTTTGTCTCGTGTTCGATGGTTGATCATTTAGATTGGATTTTCCAGAAACGTTTTCATACAACGCGTTATTTTGCATTATCGTTTATGGTTTCTGTGCATGCGAAATCTATGTGTCACTTCAATTTAGTCCAGATAAGTTATCGTTCGTTGACGGTGTCATCAATGGCAGTCCATAAATGTGAAATATTAAACATATATAAGCCAAGACACTGTTGTTCTACTTAATTTAAAGTATATATTTTTGACGAACGAATGATGTATTCTCCCATACGGGGGATAGAGGTGTGGTCGTTCAAGTTCATGGCGTATTCGTAAGCTTTTGAATTAAATGAATGCTAACCATGATCTAATTATAATATCTTTTAGGCTACATATGTTGAATTGAAAACATCGCGTTTTTCTTCTCATTCATAGTGAGCTAATCTGCAAGTTACTGGATAATCGTCGTTGCCTTTAATATGTAGATTGTTTGATTGAAATGTGTTTTTTTTTCTTCTCGTCTCGTCTTCATGCGTGAAATTTTAATCGATGAATAAACTTTTATGGTGCTCTCGGTGTGATCAACTCGACGAATAGTTCGATGTTCGTTGTCGTTACCGGAGCTGGCGCTAATAACTTGAGAGGAGGGGGGGGGGGGGGTGGTGGAAATTTGAAGAACCAAGTGACTCCTTGTGCACGGTGCGTTGCCGGGATGGGAGAAGTGGCGGCGTATTGAGGTGGAATACTGCTTCCCAGTCGCGGTATCGCAGAACGAGTTGAACTGGGAGATAAAGCCGGTGTGCAGAATCCCAACCATGTTGACTGGGTTGGGTTCTGGTGGGGAGGTTACATTCGTCATCCTGCTTCTGACGCATATTTCTCTCCGCGAATCCCTATTAAAGATACCGTCTTGAATATTTTCCATTCTTTGCTGTCGAGAGGAGGAGGGGAAGATCCTCCAGTCAATCATCGCAAAATCAGAGAAATGTAGTGGTTTTACCGTTCCGCCAAAAAGATAATTAAGACGTGGCTGCGCACTTCATAGAGACATAGCGGCAGCGCGCTTTTGGTAGGACAGTGAAGAATTCTAATCATGTGTATCTTACACAGGATGACAGTTGCCTCAAATAGTTGTATTTTGTGAAAAACGCGTTGTAGAATGTAATGCTAAAATGATGTACGCACCCACATTATTCCTATCTCTGGAATATGGAGAGTGTGGATAGCGCGCGGGTCTACAGTGGGACTTTTTTTCTGCAGACCACCACTCCGTCCTGTTGGATTCACGCAGCGATGATGCACGCTGAAAGTGACCGCTTGCTTTTCCAGAACTCGCTATTTACTTAGGTCGTCAGGTCGAAGTGGCCATTTGTAATGAGATGTAGCTCACTAGGCGTGGTTTTGGACGCTGATCTCGAATCTGCCTTCGAAATTTTGCCCCCACCCAGAACTTCTTCTCTGAAATCGGAATTTATGAAGGTTTGTCGTAGAATTAGAATTAAGGAAACAGCAGTCAAGCCCCACGCGTTCCGGCCAACATGCGCCATTGAATAGCGCTGGTAAGCACACGCCCCGTTTCGGTTTAACGCGTGCGCTTCGGTGTAGTGGTTAATGCGTCTTGCTTTCGCGTGCATGGCCTGGTGAGGGCGTTCAGATTTTCTGAAGCCGAACTTGCTTTTGCATTATTGTGGGGAATGCTACTCTTTTGAGTTTAGGACACTTCAAACGCAAAATGAGTGCCCATATTCGTGATCAGCGGAGCAAAACTACCCTCCCGTGCGACATGGGTTTTTAGCCAGATTGCAGGTTTCGACCTACTTTGAAAAGGCGTTAGAAAAGAATGCCTTATTGTATTGATTGGTCACCAATAGTTCCAGCGAGTCAGCTCTCTTGTCGATTCTGTCTTGACGGAATTCTAGCTTTTAGATATCATGGCAAGCGGCAGCTGTAATGAAATGAATGCCGTTAAGAAGTGGCCTGAGACATGAGCTCTTGCTGCAGGAGAATGTAGCTGAGCAGCTGAATAGGGTGTGAACATCAACTGAACTAACCCATGGATGCTTCACTTTTCGAAGTCAGGTCAAAATGCCAGATTTGGCTAGAAACCTCTACCTAGGCGGAGTTCGCCCAGATAAACTCGAACATGGCACTCGCTAAGCGCGAAACCGCCTGCACTGCGCGCCAAGGGCACCTGTACATCCTAAAATTCTCCTAGATCATAAGGCACTAAGCGCGCCAGTAAGCGAACACAAACTGTTTTCCAAGGCAAGCTTTAGGAGAGCACTAATGCAGCAGCGACGCTAAAACCACTTTTTTGCCACGTTGGCACGAAGCAAAAAAGTTAAACTCAGCAGCAGGGATCCGATCCCACGACCCGTTGCGTGGTAAACGCGGTGAGAAAAGCTTACACAATAACTTCCGCTCCAGAAAATCGTTCTGCAAATTTCAAAGGCAGATTCGAGATCAGCGTCCAAAACCACGTCTAGTGAGCTACATCTCATTACAAATGGCCACTTCGACCTGACGACCTTCCCTAGTTAGACATTTTGCTGATGCGGCGAAGAAGGCCTCGTGTTGGTTCGGGTAACAGTTCCTATTTGTTGACACATGACATTCACAGTCACACGTTTTCGTTTCTTTGGGGCCCACGCCATTCTCAAGTGCTCCTTGCCCGTCCTTAGCCTCTTTTAGGAATTCGACTTTCTGTTGTTATAATTATCACTACGTCATCCTGAACAGGATTGGCAGAACACTAGACGAAGGATAGCTCATTGACTTGAAGAAAGCCTTCGACTCCGTTGAGACAAAAGCGGTTATTGGGGTCCTGGACAACCAGGGTAATCCTACCCAAAATATCAGTCACGACAAGGATGTCACCAATCATCAAGGAGGTCATCATCGATGTGAAAGAGAGGGGTCCGACAGGGCCACACCATTTCGCCCTAGCACTTCAGCGCTTCTCTTGAGAACATCATGCTTCAGCTGAATGGAAAGACATGGGAGTGAAGGTCGACACTGGCAACTACATCATCTCAGCTTTGCTGACGACATCGTTCTAATAATCAGCAAACATCGAGCAAGCGGAGCGAATGCTGGCTGATTTGGACTGCGCGTGAGGAAAAATCGGTTTATCAGCTGAAAAACGAAGACGGTGATCATGAGGAATGGATTGCGCTCTAATGCCCCATGCCCCATTAACGCTCAATGGAAGGAACATCTCTGGAGGCCTTAGTTATACCAGTGTACCTGGGTCGGGAAGTCATATGATGAACGACTTAGCAGGTGAACTGAGCAGGAGGAAGCGAGCGGCTGAGGTAGTTCCTGAAAACGGAGAACCCTAGGCTCCGCTTCCATCACTGTAATTCCTTTCTGCTTTGACTTATGCCTCAATACTTGGGCTCTAAGAAAGCACGATGATATGCGGTTGGCGTTGTTCAACGCGCCATCGAAGAGATGATGCTCGAAGTTCCCCGCTACACGCATGTGAAAGAGGGAATCTGGAGTTACGCACTCCGCAGATGATCGAAGAACAGAGACGCCGCCGCATTTGTCCAAGGTTTCGAAGATCAGGTGGGCCGGACACGTCATGCGTTTCGGGGACGACCGCTGGACCAGAGCAGTCACCGACTGGATTCCACGGGATGTCAAGCGAACGCCTGGAAGATCGCCTGCCGCCGAATGGCAGATCTTGCTGAAAGCTCCCTGAGACAATATGAGGTATCATCGTGTCCGTCAGCAGAAAACACCATTATGCAACGCTTGCACTCTTGAAGGGCGAATGGAGACGTCTGCGCGCTTCGCCTCTAGCGAAATCGATGATCAACGGGGAGCCACAGGGTGGATATATCAACTATGGATTACGGCGTAACTACTGGGCTGCCTAGGGCTTATTCAAATAAATGTACATGCATACATAGCTCTCAGCATTGGGCTCATTATGCCTCAAAACTCGTGAAACGTTCATTAGGTGCACAGACGCGAGTATGCCTTGAATTTGTGGACCCTCCTTAAGGCTCCCGATCAAGCCCTTGTGTTATCCTGATCACCCCATGCCCACTTCGACTAATTGAGTTTCGCGTTCCAGCCCCGTATACCACTGCTTTGAAGCCAACACCAACTGTTGCTGTTAGCCGCCGCTACGAGCCTTGGTGACCCTCCAATCTTACCCCCCCCCATTGCCAACCCTTGTCAGCTGTTATCACTGCAGCCATATTCAGAATCCTAACAAGCTCTCAGCATGTAGCGCGCAGAGAATGGCCCAGTATGGACAACCTTGTGGAAGTTAATAGATGTCTCAGTCACGTGTGCACTCAATTTGAAGGCATTTGATACCATTACTCCCTAAGCGACGTACGCGTATTAAACACCCGTGGACAGGACGAAATTTCGCACCTGTGCAGGCGCTCCGTAGCGCC